ATAATAGATTACAAAATTGAATTTTCGTGATTCATGTTGATAATATTTTGGTCAAGATAAATATTACAACATAATTTAAGTTCTAATAAAAAGAAAAAGAAGAAAGAAGACCTACAACTCATATATTATAAATAATAATGATATTATATGACAAAAAAGTTTATAATAAATTATAATATTAAGGATTATATGGTAAACAAAATAAGTAAAACTTTTATTTTCTCTTATATCAAGGAATAAATATATATAGTAAAATCAATTTTATATTACTACAAATGTGTTAGTGAGAAAATACATTAATAATTTACAAGTTAGCCCTAACATGCTCATATTTAATGTTCAGGCAAAAAGAACAATGTTGATTAAAAGTGAAAAATATATTATAACCTTATTTTTTTTTTTCGACTTAATGTTGATTAAAAGAGATAGAAAATATATGATAACCTATTGCTTTTTGACTTAAACGCAGTGTTTTTCAACCCGGACCGGGTGGACTATTCGAACCAGGCAACAAAGGACCCGGCCAACCCAGCCTTGCCCCTATCGACCCAGGGCATTGACCCGGTCCCTATATATTTTTTTCATTTTTTAAAATAATTTTTGTTTTTAAAAAATGAAAAATATGTATAATATTCTCATGAAATACATATTATCAACACTTTAATGTATAAATCATATATACAAAACTTTTATTTTTTAGTTTATGTAAATTTATATGACAATACTCTATATATTATTTAAAAAAAATTTAATATTAATTATCCGGTTCAGCAACTGACCCGGTGACCCGACGGTTGAACCGATGACCCGAAGACCTGCCCGGGTTTAAACGGGCATAATCTGTGAAAATAACTAATTTAATAAATCTGTCCCGTGCATTGCACGAGGTACGTACTAGTATCCACTAACAACTAATAATACCAAATTTTTTTAAAAATTAACTATAGTTAAACAACGAACCAAATAAAAACTAGTTCAATCCATAAATAATCACTTTTTTGGCCATATGTATGTGACTTTGGTCATTTCATTTAGCCAATAACCTCCACCTATTTGACATTTTGCCCCACTGAACCTAACTCAAACCGCCATTGACAACTTATCTCAAAAGCTCATTTATGGCGAGAATGAGCGGTTAACTGCAGCCCAAAGTTGTTATTGCGCTCGTTTAATGCTCACTACCAGCAGTTATGGCTTACGATTTCTGGCGCATGACGAATCTTCTTGGCTATTTGTGAACACTGAACAGCAAAGCGCACAGCATTACACACACAATAGTGGTAGAAAATTCAAACACAGGTACATACAAGGCCACCCTTTTAATTTGTTACCTTTTGTTTTGTTGAAAAATTAGCCACACATGATATGTTTGCTTAACGATGTTGATGCGGGCTGTTAGTTAAAGCCTTGGACAGTTGGAAGATTTAAATGCGGTCACATGGGTGTGCGAAAAATTCAATCTTTTTTCTATGTGAGTCCATTCTAAAATTGCTTGGTTTAAACTATTTTTAGTAGTTCTTGGGCATTGATGACAAAATTCACACTGGGATTGTAACAGATAAGAGTGACTACATAAAGTTTGTATGACATGGGTTTCATTTTCTGCATTGAATGAAGGCTGTAAAATTCTTCATTTTGTGCATTTTTACTCAGTCTGCCGTCTTGAGTGGTGCCCGAATAGAGTGTACTTTGAGCGCCCACGTAACGTTTATAAATCGGATGACGGCATGTTTCCATTTACCGGTTTTCGAACGTTGTTTGCCGTTCACTAAAGGCTGTGTATTTCTACTTTTGGGGAGATATGTTGTATAAATGTGCAATAATACACTATTTGATTCCTCATGCTTTTTCATCTCTATAGGTATAGCTGTCCTAATTATGAATTTTCCATCAGCTAGCTGTGATTAAGTAGGTCCAGCTCAATAATTTTCATAAGGAAATAAGCAACTGAAGAGAGAGAGAGAGAGAGAGAGAGAGAGAGAGAGAGAGAGAGAGATTCACCATAGCTCCACTTCATGTTCATCGAGGGAGAAAACGAAAACGAAAAGGACTAATCTTGTGGATTTATTAATGAATCACATTTGAGATACCCTTTGGCCTGCTGTCCAATACTAAGTCTTGTTCTATTTTTGTTTATAACCTGTTTTTTTTTTTTTTGATTATTTGGGATCATGGATGAGATTGAACTTTCAAGGAACCAAATACCCGAATGCAATGAGGTTCCGAAAGCGGATAAACCCATGGATTCGATTGTTGAGAAACGGCAGAAAGTTCCATTCTTTAGGCTTTTTGCTGCGGCCGATAAAACTGATTGTGTTTTGATGTTTATTGGAAGTGTTGGGGCTTGCTTGCAAGGCGTTGCACTTCCCGTGTTCTTTGTGTTGTTTGGCCGTATTATAAATTCTCTGGGAAGCCTTTCAGCTAACCCTCACAGATTCTCTTCAGAGGTGTCCAAGGTACATTATAGGTGACTCTTCCTTCTGCACATTTCTTGTCTGTATCGTCTGTATATATATGTCGACAAATGCTGCAAAGAATAAATTTCCAGAATTTTCTGTTGTGTTGTATATCAGAAAGATGCTTTGTCTGGAGTTCTCTTTTACGATAAGATGCATTGGTTTTTAGTTTCAATTTATGATAAACAAGAAAGGAAGGAAGAAAAGATTCATTAAATTGTTGCATTGTATAGAAAAGATTCAAGTGCAAAAATGCAAATATATTAAGGTGTTTATTTAACTTCTATTCAAGTCCAAAATGCTGTAAAAATTCTATTGAAACTTATTATTTTCCATTTCCATGCAGTATGCTCTGTACTTAGTTTATCTTGGATTAGGTGTCTGGTTGTCGGCATGGACAGGTATGCCTATTTGTTCTTCTTTTTTTTTCAACCTTTTCGAAGTTGATTTTAAATTTTATTTTATTTTTAATCAGTAACACATGCTTAATCATTCCTGTAAACTCCAGGAGTTGCATGCTGGACTCAAACTGGAGAAAGGCAAACTGCTCGGTTACGGCTTAAGTATCTCGAATCCATACTTAATAAGAACATTCAGTTCTTCGACACAGAAGCAGAAAACCAAAGTATAATTTTCCACATTTCAAGCGATGCTATACTCGTCCAGGACGCAATAGGTGACAAGGTGGATACACAAGAACAAGAACAAAAAATGTATTTTTTTGTTTTATTTTTTCATTATTGCATCCAATATTTAAATTATTCCTTTTTTTTTTTCTGAATTGTTGTTGCAGATATGCCACAGCTTGTGTTATCTTTCCCAGTTTTTTGTGGGATTTGCCCTCGGTTTTTCTTTGGTATGGCAGCTAACGCTCGTCACATTAGCTATTGTCCCTTTAATAGCCTTAGCTGGAGGGGCGTACACAATAGTCATGTCTGCTTTGTCCAAGAAGGGTGAAGAATCATATGCACAAGCTGGGAAGTTAGCTGGAGAGGTAAAAAATAAAAGGGCAGGCTTTTTTCCCAAAATTCGGGACTTTTTTATTGTCAGTTTTATCAAAATCTGAAATACTGTCAGCCAATTAATGCATGCACTTTTAATCAGGTTATATCCCAAGTTCGTACTGTATACTCATTCGTGGGGGAAGAAAGGGCCATTGAAGCCTACTCAAACTCACTTGAAGATGCCCTTAAACTTGCTAAGAAGACTGGCATTGCAAAAGGGATCGGCATTGGATTTACTTACGGACTTCTGTTTTGTGCTTGGGCTTTGCTTCTTTGGTATGCAAGTATCCTTGTTCGGCATGGAGACACTAATGGAGGAAAAGCATTCACAACGATTATCAATGTCATCTACAGTGGATTGTGAGTATAGAAATTACTAATGGAGGGTGATCATATTTTTCAAACATGATAAAAATCTGACTTCGGTCGAAGTTTTTATTTTATTTACGTGTATTTGAATTAAAAAGGCAGAGTTGCTTTTTCTTGTAGTGCACTTGGTCAAGCGGCCCCGAACCTTGCAGCCATTTCTAAAGGCCGTGGTGCCGTTGCAAATATACTAAAGATGATTGAAAACGATTACAGCCCATCCGAAAATCAGGACGAGGGTATTGTACTGCAAAGAGTCGATGGAAAAATTGATTTTTGTGACGTCTGTTTTGCCTACCCCTCTCGACCCGCGATGGTTATTGATGATCTGAACTTCTCAGCTTCTGCTGGAAAATCATTAGCAATAGTTGGTCAAAGTGGTTCTGGAAAGAGCACCATAATATCCATGATACAGAGGTTCTACAATCCAAATTCAGGTAATGAAGAATTAAAAAAATAGTATGAAAATAAAAAATACCCGTTTAATCGAACTTTTTTGGTCTGTTATAATGTTCTTGAGATGAATGTATTAATGTATGAGTTGGAAAAACTTGGAATTTAACAGGAAGAATTTTGCTCGACGGGCATGACTTGGAACAGCTTCAGTTAAAGTGGTTAAGGTCACAGATAGGACTTGTTAGCCAAGAACCGGCTCTATTTGCCACGACTATAGCCGATAATATCATGTTTGGGAAAGAAGGTGCCGATATGGATCAAGTAATCGAGGCTGCAAAATTTTCTAACGCACATCCTTTTATTCAAGGTTTACCCGATGGGTATCAAACTCAGGTTTGTTCCTTTTACGAGCCGGTTAAATATTTTCGGATTCAAGTCTCTCATGCAGCACAAAAGAGACCTTTTTTTTTCTCTAATTGACCATTAACGATTTACAGGTGGGAGAAGGTGGTACACAGCTATCGGGAGGTCAAAAGCAGAGAATTGCTATTGCCAGGGCAATTTTGCGCGATCCGAGGATCTTACTCTTGGACGAGGCCACTAGTGCACTTGATGCCGAATCAGAATTACTTGTTCAACAAGCATTAGACTCAGTCATGGCAAACAGGACAACTATAATTATCGCCCACAGATTATCCACCATTCGAGACGCCGATAATATTATCATTCTTAAAAACGGCAAAGTTGTCCAAACCGGGACACACAAAGAACTAATGTCAAAACCCGGGGAATATTCATCTCTGGTGCACCTTCAAGTATCAGAACAAAAAACGAATTCTGTTTCGTATAATCTTCCCAAAACGAGCACTTTTGTTGAAGAATGTCAGCAGAAGTTGAAACTGAACACTTGCAACGAGGTGGAAAAGGGTAATTCTGACATTTCTACTCGAGAAATAACGGACTCGAGTCCAGTTTGGGAGCTAATCAAGCTTAACTCACCGGAATGGCCTTATGCCCTGTTTGGCTCGTTGGGCGCTATCTTGGCCGGAATGGAGGCACCTCTTTTTGCTCTTGCGATTACGCATGTTTTGACTGTTTTTTACTCGCGTGACGATTCTGAAATCAAAAGGGAGGTCAGGGATATTTCCTTCATATTCATCGGGGCTGCATTCGTGACTATATTTATATATTTGCTGCAACATTATTTCTACACGTTAATGGGCGAGCGCCTTATTGCGCGTGTTCGCCTGAAAATGTTTTCAGGTCTTCCCTTCCTTTCGTTTTTAATTTAAAAATTTCATTTTATAGAGTTTATATATATATATATATATAATTGATTACATCTTCTTGTTTTGTTGTTATTGCGAAACTAAACAGCAATACTTTCTAATGAAATCGGATGGTTTGACAAAAACGAGAACAACACTGGCACATTGGCATCCAAGTTAGCTACTGACGCGACGTTAGTACGAACCGCATTAGCCGATCGAATATCGACACTTGTCCAAAATACGGCGTTAGTTATAACCGCATTCGTGATCGCTTTTGTGCTGAGCTGGCGGATTGCGGCTGTTGTGATTGCCACTTTTCCTCTTCTCATCGGTGCAAACATAGCTGAGGTGAGTCTTTTCTTAGGAATGTCCAAAGCTGAGTATTTGCAAAAATTGCATTTATAATTTTCCAATCGATTTATTACGCAGCAACTATTTCTCAAGGGCTTCGGAGGGGATTACGCGAGTGCATATCACGAAGCGACTGAAGTTGCACGCGAAGCACTCGCCAACATACGAACCGTGGCTGCCTTCAGTGCCGAAGCCCAAACAACAGCCCGATTTGCTTCCAAGCTTCACGGGCCGAGAAAACGGGCCCTACTCCGCGGCCACGTATTGGGCTTCGGCTATGGAATATCACTTTTCTTCGCGTACTCCTCGTACGCCGTGGGACTCTGGTACGCATCGATCCTCATCCGGGACAAAAAGTCCGAATTCGGCAACATCATGAAATCTTTCATGGTGCTTGTCATAACCGCGCTAGCCGTGGCCGAGACGCTAGCCCTCGCGCCAAATTTAGTCAAGGGATCCCAAGTTCTAGTCTCGGTTTTTGATATTCTCCGAAGGAAAACGATAATCGACCCGAACGACTCCTCGTCCACTGTACTCACGCATATTCGAGGAGACATCGAGTTTAAAAACGTGAGCTTTAGGTACCCCACGAGGCCCGATATATCAGTTCTCGACGGATTAAACCTGAAAGTGGCAAGAGGCGAGAGCATGGCCATTGTGGGCCCAAGCGGCTCGGGAAAAAGCACGGTAATCTCTCTGCTGCTAAGATTTTACGAACCCGACTCGGGAAATGTTCTGATCGATGGGTATGACATTAGGACCTTAAATTTAAAATCTTTACGAGCAAAAATCGGGTTAGTACAACAAGAACCGGCTTTATTCTCCACGACAATATACGAGAACGTAAAGTACGGGCATCCGAACGCTTCTGAAATCGAGATAACCGATGCTTGTAAAGCGGCGAACGTGCACGAGTTTGTGAGCCGAATGCCGGAGGGTTACTCGACCCGAGTCGGGGAAAAAGGGGTGCAGCTTTCTGGGGGCCAAAAGCAAAGGGTTGCGATAGCGAGGGCCATTCTGAAAGACCCGACGGTTCTTCTTCTGGACGAGGCGACGAGCGCGCTCGACACGGATTCGGAGGCTCGGGTTTGGGAGGCGTTGGGTAGGGTTATGAGGGGACGAACGACGGTGCTCGTGGCCCACCGGCTGTCGACTGTCATGGGCGTCAATGTAATTACTGTTGTGCAGAATGGGAAGGCTGTGGAGAGTGGGAGCCATGAGGAGTTGGTCGGGAGAGAGGGTGGTGTTTATTCTCAGCTGGTGAGTTTGCAGTGTGAGGAGAAAAATGCATGAAAGTTTTTTTTTTTTAGATGTTGATTGGAGAAAAAGGTTGTGGAAAGGACTATATATAGTGATGAAGTTGGGCTTGTTAGGGATGAAGTTGTGGGCCCAAAGTTGGGGATCATTGAGAAAATGTGTGTGGGCTGGGGATATGGGCTGTATCACGTAAGCCCAAAGTTTTTGCAAGATTATGAAAGCTTTTTTTATTTATTTATGTTTATTCGAAAAAAGGACATTCCTAATCTCATTGCAAGAAATATTTACATAACTGTTCCTATAAATAATTAAAACAATATTGTGTATAATGTTTAAGATCATCTGAAACAATGGGTCCTAATGTAATCACATTTTTATGAGATGAGGATATTAAATTAAACAATTTGCTAGTAAATGTTCTTTTTACCTAGTCATATCTATACTTATATAAAAAGACATTCTATTTACTAGAATTAGTAGTAAGAAAAGTCAAAGGTAATTAATGCATTCTATTTCCATCAAGTATTTTATTTAATTATTTTAGTTAATTATTTTATCTCATAACACATTTTCAATATAATTTATCATGATTTTTTTTGTGATTAAAAACCAAATTTTACGTTTAAAATCTTGTGAAATTATTATTAATATTTTTATAAAGCACATATTATTTGTTAAAAAATTGTATATATATATATATATACATATATATAATACACATCACAGTATTATGATAGATGATTTGAATTTTAACCGATCAAAATGCCAATAATTTAAATTTGAACACACCTATTAGTTTGACCAAATGTCTGGATGTTTTAAAATTTAGCCCATAAAAATTATTTAAATTTGAACACACCAGAAATTTTATGTATTTTTTATTTATATTTATATTGAAAGTGGTATTTAATGGATGTTATATAAACTATTTTAATATATTTCCAATGAATAAAAGTTTGAATGAATAATTTGTAATGTTATTCATAATGTTTGTGACTTATGAGACACGAACACATAACTCCATACATATTTGCCAGAGAGCGGCTTAATAATTTTTTAGAATTAACATTGATTAAAAGAGGTAGAAAATAGATAATAACATTATTACTTTTTAGACTTAAACGGACAAGGCTGTGAAAGTAACTCATTTAATATCTTTCTCTCGTGCATCGCACGGGGTACGTACTATTCTATATAAAGAGAGAATCTATTTACCAAAAATAGTAACAAAAAAGTCAACCAATATTTATTGCATTATATTTTTGGCAGTTTTTGAATTTTCTTTTTAAATTATTTCCAAGAAATCAATCAACTATATATGTACCATAAATTCATAGGTTTTGTGAATTTAATTTAGGTAAATTTCGATTGATGCATACAATTTTGCAAAAGTTACAATTCTTTCTCATTATATATATATATATATATATATATATATAAAACCATTACCATGAAATCGCAAATTTTGAATTAGGCAAAATACTATCACATATAACTTTCTCTAATATCAATTGTTAAAAAAAAAAAAAATAGATTTCATAGAAATCGGGTTAATTTAGGTAAAAATCGGCACAACAATTTTGTAACAGTCAAAATTCTCGCATTTTTTATAACAAAAAATAATGTTTACCATGAAATCAAAAATTTCGAATTAGGCAAATACTATAACATGTATCTTTATCTAATTGCAATAAATCATGTTTATTAAAAAAATCGGATTCCATTAGAATTAAACCCATTTTCAAATTGAAAATTAAAATTTAAAAATGAAATCAATTAACTACTACTTTCTTTAGTTTGTAATTTTTTTTAAACATAAAACAGAGTCAGATAATATTAATTTGACATTCAAAATGAAATCGGATCAGAACATCTTAAAATTTGGATTTTGTTTAATCCTCTAGAATACAAACTTGAAATGGATTTCATGCACTTACACAATTTTTTCCTTCCTTAATTTAAGTAATTTACAACTTTAAAATAATAAAGCTATAGATTATCAAGAAATACGTTTTACAATCTCCGTTATATTTGACTATGCATTCTTCATAAAACCGATATAAATCATATCATATATCCTGCAAAATAATTTAATTGATTTATTTAAGCCTATCTAGAATCCTAATACAATTTGTGGCGATAAACGATATACCAAAAGACCAAACAAATAATGTTGTGTGCAAGAATGTGTTTGATAATATATAATGTTGTGTGCAATGATGTGTTTAATAATATAAGTTACATTTTGTTTTTTTTTTCCAGTACATGTATTTTACGTTCTTACAATCATCAAAATCTAAATTTTTACCTTAATAAAGGTAGTTCGTGCATCGTACGGGTACGCACTAGTATTCATATAGAAGAAACTCTATATAAGTGTTAGTCCCACTATTTTATTAGACAAATATATATCAATATATATATATATATATATATATATTATTTTTTTCAAACAA